CTACGTCATTTTCACAAAACTTTTTAAATATCGTTTTTACGGATTGGATTCGAGGCTTTACGATTGACTTAATCTCGCGTGAAATCATCTTATTCTTTGATATTATCCCATGTAACTGGCTGAAGAAATATCTTACTGCAAGTTCCTAGTCAGTTTCCAACACAGGTTTCCAAGACGACGTGTAAACTGTGAGAAGACGTCTCTGTACCGCGAGAATTCTACTTTATTTCCTCGTTTTAAATGTTGGCGAAGTAATTAATTGTAGATTGAGTGTTGTAAGTTGTGAAGAATGGCTGAGGAAGGCGCACCGGCAGCTGCTGCTCCAAGCCAGCCGGCGGCTGATGTTATTCATACATACCCACTTGTAAGGGTAAGTCTATGAGTTCCATATAAATCTCCAAAATCCAGTTAAATCTGTATTTCAGACAGTTTATTCAATTGCTTACATCTAATTACTTAAAACAGCTTGGTCTATTTTAAGAACATAATCAAACAAACAATTTCATTTAAAATTAAGTGCTTTTAAAAAAATACTCTGGTATTACATACAGCGACGTCAGTCAATTATTTTAGGATACAAGTTTAGGTTTTTAACCCCCGACACAAAAAGGAGGAATTATACGTTTGAAGCATTTGTCTGTGTGTCTACCTATGGTACCGTAGCTCACTGCTCTCAAAGCTTTTTTTATTTAAAGACTAATTTAACAAGGATAGCTCTTAGCTGTATGATGAACATCTGTTCAGCTGTATAAAGACTATTTGGCTCTATTCTCAGTTAGAGAAGAAATCTATCATAAAATGTATATTTGTTTTACCACTAGTCCGATCGACTTGAAATTTAGTATAGGTACTATAGAAATCCAATAACATTATTTTTATATGGTGACCTTGATTTGACGCTGTTATTAGGACAGTCCGTCCGTAGAGTACCCAATTTCTCAACTATTCACAGTAGAGTATAGTGTTTGAGCTCTTTAAATTGGTTTTTTAGCTTACGAATGGCACTGGTGCGTTCAAGGTTTACGTGTACGTCTTTTTTATAATATCTAGTGGCGGGACGAACAATCTGATAGTAAGCTACACGCCTGTCCGTAATAGTTGCAGCGCCACTCAGAGCTTTAAATCGCAAAGATCTGAGGGGCACTGCCACCGCGCCCGTCTCTTTGAGGTAAAAGTTGACAAGTCTCATGCGCCTGTAATTTCACCAGCACCCTTACCCTTCTAAGCCGGAACATAGTAATACTGACATTACTGCTTGGCGGCAGAGATAGGTAATGTGACAGTACTTCTTCTACTTATTTTTTTTATTTGCCAATAATTAACTGTTTCATTTAGCATTATAAGCAATGTTACTTCCCTAATTGTAGTTTTAGTCTAAGTTTTATTAGTTCACCAACAACTGGTGAACTAATAATAAAAACTTTGAATGACATTCATATTTAGTATGTACAAAATTTAGTATGTATAACACATTCTGATTAATGGAGTTCATTATTACGCCCCCATGATATAATAAGGCCATATCCGTAAAATCACAACTTTTCAGGAGAGAAGTTTAAAGATTCTAGGAATAAAATTAGCGTTAACTTTTTTATACTTAAATAGATTGTTATAACATTTCACATATAGGTAAATACTTTTCGTTTCATGTATTTCTTTATGACTTTCATGTGATAAAAACATTTTTGAAGTATGATCACATGTGGCTTTATTGGATCAAGATGCAATTTTTCCTAAGGTTAATTTTTGGCCCAATTAAAACTATGTAATTGAAGAAGGAACTGACAAAGAATGACTAGTAATTAGTTTCTAAGTCGTATCTAATGTACGTCATTGAATTTGATTATTGAACATCCAAAGTTGGATCGATATTCTAGAGTCTTGTTAAGATTTTCAACGAAAACTCAACAAAATTTTTTCGATGACACTATTCCAAAACAGTATTTGAGTGTTTAATTGAGCAGCAATTATGTGGAAAAGAGTAGCTATACCATTGAAATTTGGCTGTGGCTATCACAGTGATACATGATGATTACATAGCTTAATAATCATATTTACATAATCTCGCAAATCTATAAATTTCTACGTTATTTGTCATCGATTCCAAATGTATTATTGATTTGAAATATTATGTTCCCATTTCGTTTTCGTGTCGTTTAAATAAAGAGAAACCTATATTTTCAGGTACGCTTCCTTAACGGTATGCATCTTTTCTTGTCCTGATACAAGCAGAGTTTTGCGGGACGCTTAAGTACTATTTTGAAATATAATGGTCCCATTTTGTGTTTAAATAAAAAGAAACCTGAAAATTTGTACGCTATGCAACTTTTCATTGTCCGGATAAAATCAAAGATTTCGCAGGAAAATAAAATTTGTTCGTGTTTTCATGTCAGAACCAATTACAAAATCCAGAAACAAAAATCTTATACATGGTGTCATTTGAACATTAAAAATTCCATGAAATACCTTTCAGACGACAAAACTTTATAAATACAAAATTTGTCCAAAATACTTTTAGTAAATCATGCGTAACACTCACTTCTATTAGGCGTGTAAGTTTGTATCGGTATTTGATTAAGGATTTGAGATCATCGAGTAGGCTCCCACGCGTACCCTGAAGGTCATTTCAAATAAGTAAAATCAAGTAGGTGGCCAGTAGTTTTCGTTTGCACTAGTAGACCACCGCACATGTTGAGAAAAATCAATCACATCTTCCCGCCTCCGTCGGTTTCCAAGGCAACGGGTAAACAGTGGGGAGACGACGTTGATCCGCGCGCAACGTGTGTTGTGTTTCTCCTTTTAACTATTTGCGAAGTAATTGTAAGTTTTATTGGTAATAAGTGCTGTTTTCTGAAAAATGGCTGACGATGGCGCAGCGGCTCCTACGACAACAGTCGAAAAGATTGTTCATACATATCCACTTGTAAGGGTAAGTCCATAGATTTGAATACGATGAAAAACAGAATGACTTAAAATTTAATGTCAACAAATTCGTCAACGAATTTTGATAATTCACAAACTTAAATCTCCATTTAAGTGCATTAAATGCACTGCTATTACAAGTGCTATAACTCCAAATAAGTGAAATTCAAGATTATACTATTTGCGGAACGTAAAATTTTAATATCTACACGTCAATACAACCGTTGTTAGAATATTGTGAGAAACAATTGAAAGATATCTACTTAACTCAAAATGAGACAAACTTTTTGTGAGTTAATGCTGGACAAAACATAGTTTACTCAAAAATAATTATTTCCCTTTTATTTTTAAATGTATTTGGCAAGTAGGAAATGGTTTAGATGTCTGTAATAAACTTTAGCCTATACATAAAATTAAATAGGAAATTATTATTATTATTTTCAAACAAACGAACGTTTCGGGCCCTTCACAGGTTCCATGGTCATGGCTGACTGAGATAGTAAAGTCACCAACCATTTATATCTAATCCAAATTTTTCACTATACTTAAAAGTTATTAATCAAATACCTTATTTTTAAATTTTCCAAAGTACACTCCAATTTACTTATATTTTATTTTTACAATATGAATTTTAATTAAATTAAATTTATGAATAAGTAATAGTGAGTAATTCGTTTCTTATCGATTCTGCAAAAAAATACAGTTTTAGAGTTAATACACTAGTGTATTAACAGTGCAATATGACCTCGTCAGTTTTGTTAAATACTGTTAAGTATTTTTCGTATCTGTTTTTTTTCTTTTTTGTTATTAAATAACTAAACATTTTTTTAATATTTAATCTTACTTAATCACGTGTTTACAATTAAAGATTGCGGTATTTTTTTATAATATCAAGTGACTGGACGAATAAGTCATGCACCTGATGGTAAGCTACATGCCTGTCCATAACAGTTGCAGTCACTCAGAGCTTTAAATCGCAAAGATCTGAGGGGCCACCGCGCCCGTCTCCCTGGGGTCAAAGTTGACAAGTCCCATGCGCCTGTAATTTCACCAGCACCCTTACCCTTCTAAACCGGAACATAGTAATGCTGACATTACTGCTTGCGGCAGAAATAGGTAATGTGACAGTTCTTTTTCTACTTATTTTTTTTTTTATTTGCCAATAATTAACTGTTTCATTTAGCATTATAAGCAATGTTACTTCCCTAATTGTAGTTTTAGTTTAAGCAGTTGTTGGTGAAGTAATAAAAAGGACTATGAATGACTTAAGATGACGAATAATTTTAGTAGTTAGCTCCCTGTGAGTTCGTCTAAGGTAGTAGTACCTACCTTACCTATTTCTGCCGCCAAGCATTAATACGAGCATACGAGCAATACTGCGTTCCAGTTTTGAAGGGTAAGGGTGCTGGTAAAATTACAGGCACCTGAGACTTATCAACTTATGCCTCAGGGTGGCGGTCGCAGTTCTAGTGCCTATGATGTCTTTGCTATTTAAAGCTCTGAGTGGCACTGGAACTGTTATGCACAGGCGTGTCGTTTACCATCAGGCGCACGACTTGCTCGTTCCATCACTTAGTATAATAAAAAAAAAAATATTTTTTCTTGTGTACACAATCTATACAAGTTGTAATTTTTTTGTGAAAAATATTGACAGACATAACATTAAACACGAAAAATAAAAATAAAGTAGCTGTTCTTGATAGTCGTCTTCACAAATTCATTTAAGGGGTAATATATACGCTTCTGTAAAAAGATTCCAGTTGATATACAAAATTTGCCATTCCAGAGGTTTAAAACTATAGTGAAACTAAAATATAAACTTCTGCGTACTTGGATGACAAAAATCCGTTTAGCTCATGGAGGTAGTCTCGAATTGATGTTTGAAAACTAAAAATTAATATATTGTAAATGTTAAATGTTTACAAATGTTATTTACAAAGAGCAACCCCTAGAGTTTCTTGCTCATTCTTCTCAGGGGAATCTGCCTTACGAATGAGCGGTAGAGTTTAACCATATTGTGACGATTTCAAGTGTAATAATGCTTACCTATGACATAAAGATTACTTTGATTTTGATTTTCGATTTTGAATCATAGTTGTAACTTTTACACTGTCCATTAATTTATTCCGCTTATTGCCAATGTTTAACATACCTACATTAATTTCCTAAGGACGTTATCGTTGCATTGTGCCGATGTCGATAAATGGATGATTCAGGGTACGCCTTGGTGTAATAAATCATACGTCAAAAGTGTTTTTATCACATGAAACAAATCATGTGTACGTGAAATTTCATAACCCTACAATTTTAAACACAAAAAAGTTAATGTCTAATTTCGTTCGCAAAATCTTTACACCTGAAAAGTTGTCATTTTGCAGATGTGTCCTTATTACACCAACGGTACCTTAATCTTGACTATTTCAACCGCCATATGTAATGTGAGCATTACTGCGATCCAGTTTTGAAGGCTAAGTAAAATTACAAGCACATGGAATTTGTCAACTTACGTGTAGACGTGTCACTTAAAACACATAAAAATGGGTGCGATTTGAACTTGACGAAGTGGCACATCTAAATACCTACTCAGAAGATAAATATCGTGGGTAAAAGCAGTAGTAACCTGATCTCCTAGTAACGCGCTGTTGCGTTACGTCGCGTCTAACTGTCGCGGACCTTGACTTGTCGAAATACTATTTATATTTCTTATGAAAATTAAGTTTTTTTTATAATATCAAGTGACGACGACGAACGAACAAGTCGTGCGTGTGATGGTAAGCTACATGACCATAACAGTTGCAGTGCCACTCAGAACTTTAAATCGCAAAGATCTGAGGGGCGCTGCCGCTGCGCCCGTCACCCTGAGACATAAGTTGACAAGTCCCATGTGCCTGTAATTTCACCAGCGCCCTTACCCTTCAAAACTGGAATTTAGTAATGGTGACATTACTGCTTGGCGGCATAAATAGGTAACGTAAGGTACTACCCTGGACAAACTTTTTCACAAGGAGTTCTACTGCTACTAATGTAGACATGTTATCGTATTTCATTAGTCCCAAATACTAACAAATATTAATTAAATTTTTATTGAATTGATATTCAATTATTTTTTGTGAAATTACTCCACTAGTTTATTATAATTATTAATACAAAGATCGAACACGCAGAAAAAATTCCTTCGATCCGGTCGGATTCGAACCGACGTCTTCTTGCATACCGTGCCAGACGCTATACCACCTAAGCCGCGGAACGAACCAACGTACCTCACGAATTTTTCTATGTGCTTGCATCGTGTCTTTGTACTTGGTCTTTCAAAGACTTTTTAGTCGTAGCGCCATCTATGAGAAATTTTGACAGATTTATCACCCAGTTAGTACCTTTACAGCTACCAGTCCTGGCGAGACATGTCGCTATTCACTGTATTAATTAAAATTAATTAAATTTAATTAATACAGTGAACGACACTTAGGATCGTATTCTAGAACTCTACTCATTGCTCAAGTCAAGACTTGAGTATGATTCAAAGCACTAGAAATCATACTCAAGTCCAAATTAGGGTCGTATTTCCAGTGCTTGAAATCATACTCAAGTCTGCTCAAATCCTGACTTGAGCATTGAGTACAGTTCTGGAAACGACCCTTAGGGTCGTATTCTAGAACTCTACTCAATGCTCAATTCAGATTTGAGTATGGTTTAAAGCACTCAAAATCATACTCAAGTCCCTGCCATTAAGGTCGTATTTCCAGTACTTGTGTTGCCAGTGCAATCCTGACTTGAGCATTGAATAGAGTTCTAGAATACGACTCTTAGTGTGTTGTTTCTCAGTGTGTTATAGCAACATCTGCCAATTGACAAATTTGACAAAATTCTAAGACAAATTCCTTATATCCGGCTTGACTAAACCACTTCACTTGGCAATTGAGCTACGGAACGTGTTAGCAGACCTTACTAATTTGTATGATGCGCTTGCTATAGATGTTTGTTTTTGGTTTTAACGGCTTTTTGCCGTTCCGCCACTTGTGAGAAAACTATGAAAGTGTTTTTCTTTTCTCAGCCAAGGACCTTATACCAGGGGCTTTGTCGCTAATTTCGCTTTATTAATAGCAATATTTATTTATATGTTTTTTTGTGAAAGTACTCCACTCGTTTGTTGTTATTTGTATCAGTCTTTTACTTAGCATGTCACCTTTAACGTTTATATCGACGTCGGAAAGAATTTTGTCTTTCCTCTCTTCCGGAAATTATTTGTTCGCTTTCCGGCGTCGATATTTGTGAGGACCAGCGCCTAGCGACTGACACAGAATTATTAGTGGCGTTGTACAGGTCCTCGCGTGTTCAGGTGTAGGGACACGCTGCGCACGACAAAAGATGTACCATTGACTGGGGAGGGCCACCATACATAATATGCGCTCGCCGAGCTATAACTCCACCTGTGCATGCTCTCCTTGATTCGGCTGACTTGGGTCTGCATAGTCCCAATCTAATATCTGAATAGGTTCAGAGACTTCCAAGTCGGTCAAGGTAGATCATGCCCAGGAGGGAGGTGCTCCGACATCGGAATGAGTGATGCCGTGGGATATTTCTTCTTCCAGAGACTTTTCGGACTTTGCTAGTTTCCCCGTCCAGAGGGAATACTTCTTTAATGAATCTATGGCTACTCTTTAGCCTCCGGGTTACCGGCGCGTGATAGTGTAAGTGGTTTCGCGGATTATTATAGTCGCTCTTTAACGTTTCAGAGAGCCCTAGCCCCGTCTCTGCGGACGTCCGGAATGGCAACATGAGCCAAAGCAAACGGATATTTGTATCAAATTATAACAACAAACTAGTAGAGTGCTTTCACAAAAAATGTATAAATAAATATTTCAGTTTAAATACTCTAAATAGTTACGTACGGTACGAAATTTATGTACACGCATGCACGCTCGCACGCACGCGCGCACGCACGCACGCACGCACGCACGCACGCACGCACGCACGCACGCACGCACGCACGCACGCACGCACGCACGCACACACGCAAGCACGCACTCCTGTAGACCACACTTTACCAACCTAAACCTAATACACTACTATCACTGTACTTCTTGGAACTGCAAATTTTGTAAAAAAAAACACATTTCAATATTTGAATAATTTAAAAGTGAGCGCCGCAAAAACATTTTAACCATTCCTACATGTAATTGAATGTTGTGCAGAAATAGCTCATATCACCGGGCTGTACCTACTCATTTACAACAAAATATCAGATGCAATAAAAATCAATGACAAATATGAAACCTTTAAAAGTAAAGTCAACTCACTAATGATCTCAACTAGTTATTACTCAGTAGAAGAGCTCTTATCAGATAGAATGGTGAAATTACAGGCACATGGGACTTGTCAACTTATGTCTCAGGGTGTCGGGCGCAGAGGCACTGCCTCTCAGATCTTTGTGATTTAAAGGTCTGAGTGACACTGCTACTGTTAGGGACAGGCGTAGCGCTTACTACCAGGCACACGACTTGTTCGTACCGTCACTTAGTATTATAAAAAAAAAGACGTGTAAATGTTCAATCTCTCGGCAACATTATGTTTAGTTTTAATATGACATGAATATAATTTGGAAATATAATTTGAAAATTTAATTTAATCATGTAATTTTAGAAAACCAATTATAGACATTTTAAATTATGTGATGGCTTAAGATAGACGTAGATTTCATATAAAATTTATTTAAAAAATGTATATTGCAACACCTTAACAGGGTCCATGTTTATATAAGTTTGTATGTACTATTCATGATGCAATAAATAAATACATAAATAGTTTTTTTATGGTACGGCATTTTAATTTTATTGTTCAATTGGCATTTTAAATTGTCCATTGCCATTTGATCGTATGCCTACGTACTATTGCTATGACCGTAGGCACCATTGTGTGCATGCACTATTTCTATGTATGTATTTCCCCTGGCACATGTAAGTGTTTTCTCAATTTCTCTAGAAATTAAACGTTAAAACCGTAAGATCACTCGTGTAAACAACCATTTGAGTATAAAGCGGGTTCCACATTTACAAGTGGATTTGACGGCATTGTTTGTTTTGGCAGGTGCTCTCTATCCAAACGTGGTTAAAATATTCCGTTTCTCTAGGATACACAATAGGCAGCGAAAGAACCTCAGCGTTATGCTTCAATCTTAAAACATTCCGTATTAGAAAATGTTGAGTTTATTTTCACAATCTATCTTTAACTTCATTTCCTATTGATTGTTTACCTCAGACAATCGTTTGAAGATTGACGTGGTTTTCCTTGAAGCGTAGGCTCCGTAGAAATATGACAGAAAATAGGTTGAACCTACTTATCTATTGAGTGAATACATTCAATGACAGGACGAGACAATTGTATTACTAGTTAAGTTTCAATACCTATACACCTAGGAGTTTTGTCGGATTTAAATCGCGTGTATTTGTTTTTTGATCAAACAAACCAAAGTTTCGGGCCCTTTACAGGCCCCATGGTCACGGCTAATGGTGATGATAAAATGATCAACCAGTTATGCTAAAACTAATTAATGCAAAACACGCTATCTTTCACTATAGTTACAAAAGTTGTTAATTAAATAGCTTGCTTTTAATTTTCAAAAGACATCCTAATTACGCTACATAAATGCTTTACAATTATTTTATTTTATTTTCAGAATATGATTTTAATATTAAAATTTATTTCGAATTAATTAAAATATATTACTTAGTACTGTATGTAGTCTTATATCTGCTTAGAATTTTTCGTCAGAGGAAATACTTTATCCCAAAATGGTGGCACGGAGAAAGCATCTTCCCTGTTGAAATTTTTTTTTAAATTTCAATGGCCTCTCGCAGCATCTTGGCTACATTTAGATCCGAAAAAATAGTTTCATGTTATCCATGTGACAATCGCAAAAACCTAAGAACTCCATGTGTATAGGTAGGTATTGTTAAGTATGTATGTAGCAGTGACAATGAGAGTTATTTTCAAAAAAAAACCACAGACTATTAGATGCTAACGCATAAAAAACCGTTGCAACAGAAAGTCGATTGTGCAACAGTCTACACAAATTAACACCGTAATGTTGTATTGACTCGCCCGCTAATGACTTAACCACAAAAATCACCATCGCAAATACCGAAAATCACAATCACCGAAACATGTACTTGCGAAAAAAATAACACTTTAATAACGCATGAACAATTCGCAGACCATTCTTATTTTCAACAAAAACAAATAGTGTAAATTATAGAACGTCATATTTGCAATATTGGTTTCTTATTTCACGCAATATTTGCCAATGAAATGAGACAATCCACCTTGCTCACTTATTCTGACATTTCCATAGCTTGATCTCTGTCGAGTACCTTTACCAGCTGCGGTATCATAATATCTTTCAAAGCTACTAAACTATCTATGCATGTTATTACAGAGGTAACCTTACTCTATCTATATATACATTTATTTTTTAAGCTAAAACAAAAAGCCTTCAATGAATTTTAGGCAAAAGAAGGTTGTGCACCTAAAGAAAATTATAATCAACTGTCTCAACTCAGTCAACCGTGACCATGAGACCTGTAAAGGGCCCGAAACGTCGGTTTGTTTGAAAAAACAAATATACGTGATTTAAATTCGGAAAAACAGTTTCATTTCCTATGTGTAACAATCGCGAAAACCTAAAAAATCGATAAAATTATAATCGCTCAAAGAATGTTTGTCGGAGCTTCACTACTTTACCTAATTCAACCGTTTGTTCACAGCATACAGACATGTCAGAAGAGATGCGCAATGAAGCAGTGGAATTAACAGTGACGGCCTGTGAAAAGTTTTCCCAGAACAACGAATTAGCTGCTCGCATGGTGAAAGAAGCCATGGACAAGAAATTTGGACCAGCGTTTCACGTCGTCGTAGGCGAGAGCTACGGTTTCGAAGTAACCTACGAGTGTACAACGATTTGCTATATTTACTTCGGCGGAAATCAAGCCATTTGCATTTGGAAGTGCTCTTGAAGACATTTTATTTACATTTTTACCTTTATTAGAGAGTAGAAATAAGGCGTAGTTTGCAAATAGCGACTTGTTAGGAATTTTTCTACACGATAGGTATTGTATTATACTTTAACGTACGGTATAAGAGCGATGCCACACGGTGTGTTGCGTCGGTGGTGGCCTTGCGAAGCTTGAGTGGCGACAGTGCGTATACTACATATAAATTAGAACTACATAGGTAGTACCACATGCTTGATAAATCAAAACGGCACGCAGCTATGAAACGCGTGCATAACAGACAAGGGGCCAGGAGACAAAGCGGGAAGGGGTACCGGTGCGTAAGTACATAAGCAGCGTTATGTTGCGGCATCCATCCCATTGTTCGATTGGCACGTGGCATTCGGTGCGTTGAAATCACTACGTTGGTTGCTATGACCCAACGCACAGGCAGCGCCCGTGTGGCATCGTTCTAACATGAGCAGAATACCTGAATTTGCAATCAAGAAAACAATCGTATTATATGTTAATACCTGTCTAATTATGTTTAGTATTTATAAATTGGTTGTAAAATATCAAGCTGTTTTTCGTGGGCTTCGCTTTAGCATGTTAACAACGGCTAAATTACTATGAAACCAACTTTCAGACGATCATTCTTATGCAAATCGTCAAGAAACATATATGAGACGGGACAGTTTTAAAATACTTAGAAATCATTTGCATAAACGCGGAAATAAGTTGGTTTTAAATTTCCAAAGATTTGTAATGCTTTTTGTGATTCGTCGTAGTGGACGTGAATATAAAAATAAACAGAAGTAAATATGTTTTAAGAATACAAATAAACGTAAAAACTGAAATACGTCAAAGTGCCTGAATAGCACAATCTATGTCTTATAAAAACTTTGTCTCTGCCGTTCACATATACCGCCCAACTAATATAAGCTAATAATAATAACAATAGTAAGGTACACACTCATAACCCCGCACTAGGGAAACCCTGTATCACGGGTGCCATGGACACACACATATCCAACCAGAAATTACATCTAAATTCACGATAGAAATAAATGTAGGCCTTATAAATATTTCTCCCGACCCGGGAATCGAAATCGGAACCTCCGCGTACTAATCTAGCATGGTGATCGATCGGTCACGGAGGCAGTTAAAAGGCACGAGCACATCAAGCTGGACACATAAGATTTAGACTCTATTTCAGTTATGGTAAGTGCCAGTCCAATTGTTTGACTGTATCTAATTCCAGTTAACATCACACTTAACTTTTAGAACTTTGGGTCATATTGTTTTTAATCATGGACCTGTAACTAAATTTTTGTGGATACTGCCGGCTAACATTTTATTTTAGACAAGCGCCATCTACCCATGTTACATTTGTAAATAAGTTTGTAATACACAATGCCATCTATTGATAGATACGTATAATTACCAAAGTTCAGAAAAAAAATTAGTTTGACTCAATATTTTAATAATACTACAAGGAAAAAACTTAACACTTTCATATTAAAGAGTAAATTAATTGATATTCACAGCCATTTACATAGTCTGTACTACTTCCTTATCCTTATTTATTCATTCATTTATTGTAAACAATGTTGGGTCGCGTGGCAATTAAAAAAGTAATCGGCGGCTCGGTGATATTTTGGCTATTGTTGAAATAGGAAAACGCGATTTTAGGCTACAAAATAAAATGTCTGGGGAATTACAAACTTGATTGGGGATTTTGTGGGCAATGGAGTTTAAAAACAACTCATTTGGAGGTTTGAGTATTTCTACGTGTGCGGAATTGGAGGAACAAGAGAATTCATATTCCCAATTCCTCGCAGCAAGCACAATTGCTTTCCTTAATTATCAGGGATTTTATGGCTTGGGCGAATATCGGCTACTTAATACCCATAAATTAGCGAATTAAATTCACAAAAGTCTTGTAGATTTATGATATAGGTGTACGTGCTTTAATTAAATAATGTTGAAATTAAATCTTAAGGTGCAAAGGGAAACGTATTATGCCCGTTATCTACTAGTTTTGAACGTACTTTGCGTGGTGCCGTACGGAAATTATGCAAATTTATACTGCACGTAAAATTCCGATTTCTAGTAGGTAACCACGTACACCTATGTCATAAATCTACATGAATTGCAATATTGTTATCTCGCTCTCGCTATTCATTAATAACGCGACGAATCTCCCCCACTAGAACAAGCTTTGGGGCACGTTTCGGTGCGCTGTAGCTTCCAATAGTAGTTATACCTACCTATTTATAGGAATTTGGGGATATTTTGTAGGTAGGGGACTTACATTTATTTCTCTCGTGAGTTTGGGTGTAATTTGTGGTTGTCTATGTGTGTGTCCATGGCACCCGTAACCCGCAACACAGGTAGAGATGGGAAACAAATTTATCGGCAAACCATTGTGCTTTTTTAAAAACCCGTGCTTTTTTAAAATGCTTTTCACTTTCGTTTAGAAAAACGTGGACTTTTATGTTAAAAAAGCTTGCAACGTTGTGTTGATAGCAAAAAGCGAGAGTAGATCACTAATGCTCTGGCCACACAGAGGCGGTCGCGGAAGCGTTTATATGAACCCTGCCACACTGAAACGCGCGGCAGACGCGCGTTTCAGTGTGGCAGGGTTCATTATGATCTCGTACATTATAAACATTCCCGCGCCCAGAACGCTTACGCGGTGGCCGCCTGTATGTAGCCAGACCATTAAGGTTTTGTGATAAATATGTTTATTTGTAAAACACGACTATTATTTTTATTGAAATGAAACATAGATGGCGGGACATCAAACATAAGCACGTTGTTAACGCTTACGTTTAAATTGTAAAGCGTAAACTTTTTTGAGTGCTTTTCGTTTAAGGTGGGCCTCTAAACACAGGATTTCCATAGTGCGGGGCTATGAGTGCATGCGTGCTTGTATAAATGTACATAACTTACAAATTAAAGAGTAGATCACAAAGACGAATCGACCTCCCAATTATCAAACTATCACGGCGTTTATATTACTGACCGACTTATTCAATGCATGTGAGGTACACACCCATGGTATATTACCTAATTTAGTTTGTTTTAATGCATCTATCAGTTCCGATTGATTTTTCAATAGGAAGGATGCTATAGAGCTCCCGGGGTCCCTGAGCCAAGCCTGTGCAAATGGACAGATCTGGAGTCAGGATCTGGCTGAATAAGGTGCCTGTGCACGCCCGTGCTTGCACAGGTAGCTGTGCCCTTCCCGTATAACCAAGAGGTTAATACGGAGGGTCACTATAAACGGAATATGGGCCCGTCAAAATGCAATGCAACGTCTCCTATACGTACACCTTAGATAATATGTTTGTATGCCTAATGTTACCTGTGTTTTCACAAATTTTGAATTGACATGCAACCGTTCAATCTTTCACTAGGCTGCCACTTGGTATTATATAAATATGATAATAAAAACCTGGCTTATTACTTTCTCTTTAACCGACTTCAAAAAAGGAGGAGGTTATATGTTCGGCTGTACGTATGTTTTCCGATTTCTCCGTCAATCGTGGACCGATTTTGAAAATTCTTTGTTTGAACGGGTGCACTCTCGTGGTGGTCCCATTGTCACCAAGTCAGAATTTGACGAGGAGATCCCATGGAAATCGAAAAAAACCAATAAGCAAACTTTGGAGGTCGGTTTTTTTTTTCAATGAAAAAGTTACAATTATCGTTAATAAGACATATTGCGTTATTATTAGCAACCCAAATCGCACTCTCTCTTCAAAATGCACACTACCTTATGTAGGTAGGGTAGACAGCCAACACCCGATTAAGGGTGCACACGTTCCCCATCAATTTGCAACTCACGATATACATACATAGTACCTACTTCTCGACATTTGGTTTTAGGTAATTACCAACCTCTCAAATTGCCGTAGAGCTATAAACCATACGAGGTTAACCAAATATTCAAGTCGATCTCGCTCTCTCGCATTTGCATAACACCACATTGCATGGTCAGAGTCGCATTGTGCGTAATTACGAGTGCCGAGTGCAGGTCTCCGGTAAAAATGTTTTTAAAATTTGATGTATCCATTAAGCTCAATTTGCAATGCCGCGGAACGGAATTTTTGTAACGAAATTATACATAGCATAACTAACTTTGTCAATTGCGTAACGTCTAAACAAAATACGATACGGTAGCGCGGGAATTCCTGAGACTGCGGAAGAATTCTCCGCGATCTGTTTATCAGCTTCTATCCTGTTTGTACGCTACACAATTCACATAAAATTCATAAAGCTGTAACTACAAAAATTCTCAAAAATTAAATAAAATTATATTGAGCGTTACCTAATTTTTTTCTGATATGGCTATTCTGAGCCTTTGTGAGCTTTGCCTAGAGTTAGGTCGTGGAAAAATTTCCATTTTCAAAAAATCATATTAATTTCATAATCATAAATATTTTTTCGGATATTTTTCCTATATATTTGTCCAATCATTTTTAAACTCATTTTTCTCCAATTTGCTTTTAGCTATACAATTTTATTTTATAATTCACGCTAAATAAAATAAAGATATTTCTAAACGAAGAACATAATATGAGCCTTCGAATTATATTTTTCTATTAATTTTAAATTTTTATTGAATTGATATTCAATTATTGTGAAATTACTCCACTAGTTTGTTATAATTATTAATACAAAAACAATCCTAAACATTTTTATTTTTTCAGAATTTTTTCCGCTATTTGAAATTGTTCGGAAAATTACCCAACAGTAGCTGTGACCCTACTATGAAATCACAATGACAGTTATTGCTAGAGAACGCGTAAAATGTTTGTATACAAAATGTTGTTCATTCTTGTGACCGTATGGGCGCTGTATAATTTACCATACGAAATTGTGAAGTAATTTACGCGGTCGCTAGCGATAACTGTCACAGTAAACTCGTGGTAGAGGCACAGTAGGTTACCAAATTCTCAATTCACCATATTGTCAGCTCACCACGTTCTCATCTCACCATGTCCTCAATGTGAATGCCCGGAGTAAATTCTGAATTT